AAGGACCAGTCCCTCCTGGCCACAGCCCAAAGTACATTAAATTGAGCCTAAAAGCTAGCCTACAAGAAGAAACTTGGTTTCATCCTCTCCAAGATAAACCTATTTGTTTTCATGGTGGTCCATGGTATGTTCAAGACTCTTCTCCAGCATCAAAACTCAAAGGCATTGATTCTTCTTATCATCCTTAGTCATTGTCCAGCTCCCTGGTGCATAGCAAGTAACTGTGAAGACCATGGCCTGGATCAGGTGCACCTTAGTCTCTAGACTGACATTGTTTCTCAGTACTCTGGAAAGGTCCCTGACAGCAGATTTATCTAATGCAATTCGATAGTACCATACACAATTCAATAGTACCATACATAACTATTTGGTATAACATGACATCCCACATGCTCTTGCACTTATTTATACCAATCATGGGGTCCAATGATCATGGCCACTTGATTCACAGACTTTACTCACAGTTATGAGATTTATTGGGGAAATAGATCAGGGAGTGGGAGAGGCAAAGAATAACACACAATGCATGTATAATTTTAGTCCAGAAGTCCCAAGCCAGATTAAGAAGGCACAATTCTTCAATTAGTGAAAGTCCAAGTTCAGTTCAGGAGCAAATGCACCTCTAATGTCTTCAATCATCCAGTAAACTTCATCTCAGAATAGTTACAAATCAGCTTTTCATTCAATGATGCAGCAAGCAAAACTTTATAAACAGTGGCTTCATCTCCAAGGTTCCTCTGCTTACACCTTGCCACAGTTACTTCATAGCAGTTCCACACCTTCCTCCATCACCATCTTTCACAGTGTGGAAAGAGTTCTCATATTGGTCCCACAACTGTTGATTACTTGCAAGATCATGTGTCCATAGTTAAGGATGATTGAGACTATGCCCACAACATGAGCTAACACAATGGATAGAAAAGCCAGTTTTCAAGGTTTTGAAACTGCACCATTCAACTATTCATGCACATTTTTGTTTTAGCATTAGTTATGTTATTGTTGTTATCGTTATATTCCATAGAGTCACCTGTGACTCATAGTGACCTTATGCACATCAGCTCCGAACTCTGCTCTATCCTGAGCCAACCTTATTGTCTCTGAGTCACCTACCTCCATTACCCTAGTCACTGAGAATCTATCTCATCTAGAGTCTTCCACTCTTGTGCTGTCCCTCCACCCTCCCAATAATAATATCTGTCTCTAAGAACTGGTCGCACCTTGCAACATGCCCAACATATGTCAGACAGAGCTTCAGAATCCTTGCCTCCAAGGAACAACTTGGTCTCATCCTCTCCAGAATGAACTTGTTTCTTCTCCTAGCAGTCCATGGTATATTCAATATTCTTCCCCAACACCACAGCTCAAAGGCATCAATTCTCCTTCTATCATCCCTAGTCATTGTCCAGTTTTTTGATGCATAGCACGTACTTGTGAAGACCATGGCCTGGATCAGGCACTCTTTAGTCTCCAGACTGATATTGTCGCTCTTCAGTACTATGGAGAGGTCATGACAGCAGACTTTCCCAGTGCAATTCGTCTTTTTATTCCCTGGCTACTGGTATCAAGAGTGCTGATAGTGGAGCCAAGCAAACTAAAGCTGTTAACAATCTTAATCTCTTCACCATCCATCACAGTACTCACGTTTGGAATTTTTTTTATTAATTTTAACAGACATTTACAGAGGTTTTTTATTTCCATTCATTCAATGCCGCACTTTTCTCCCTGCCCACCCCTCCCCACCAGTTCGCTCCCCTCTCTGAAAAGAAAAAGAAAAATTCCTTCATTAGTATACAATTCCCCCATCCCTTCCCCCCCCCCGACCCCGAGTACATGTCTCTATGCGACCTTAATTCTGGATTCCTGTGCTAACCATAATACTCAACAGTACTCACATTTTAATGTATTTTTTCCCCATTTCCTTCCTAGGATTCTCATTTCCATGAACTCTATCCTACCCTTTCTTATCCTCTTTTTAGGGCAAATAGTTCCCTTTTCGCTTATGTGGTTGTTATTTCTAAGTGCCTTTCTAGTGCTATAATCATGTCTATTACTTGATTATGAATTGAGCCAGAGGATTGCTTTGTTCCAGGGTAACTAAAGGCTTAAGGGTTCCACCAGTCTGGTCATTTTTATGGTTTTTTTTTAGTGTTGTTTCACATGTTTTCCCACTTTATCCAGGACCTTCTTCTATATGATACCTTTTAGAGTGACCAGTAGAAATAGCTGAATACCATCTTGTAGTTGTTATGTGCCATTGAGTCATAGCGACCGTATGTACAACAGCCCTAAATCCTGCTCTATCCTGTGCCAATCTTATTGTCTCTGACACACCTACAGCATTACCCCAGTCACTGAATCAATCCATCTCATCAAGGGTCTTCCTCTCTTGTGCTGTCCCTCCAGCCTCTCAAGCATAAAGTTCCTCTCCAAGGACTGGTCCCTTCTTACAACATGTCCAAAGTATGTTAGACAAAGCTTCAGAATCCTTGCCTCCATGGAGCAGCCTGGTCCCACCCACTCTAGGACAAACCTGTTTGTTATCATAATAGTTCGTGGTGTATTCAATACTCTTCCCCAGCACCACAGCTCAAAGAATACTATCTGGTTCTTCTAATCTCAGAGCAGTGGAAGTTAAGATTAGAGTGGTCCTTTGGACTCATTGTTTCTACACATCTTTGCTTTTCTTCCTTCTTCTATGTCCTGGTCAGGTAGAGGTCAATAGTTGCAATTAGATGACTACTTGCAACATCTTTAGACCCAGTTGCTACTCACCAAATCAGGATGTAAAACATTCTTTTTTGTGAAGTATTGTTATGCAAATTGGTCTTGTGCCTAAAGAGCTAAAAATAAGACATAAGGACACAGGGCCATAAGAGTCTCTCTGAAGGGGCCAGAGGAATTGAGAATAGCACACCCCTTCACCACCCAAGAGCAGAAAGCAGATAAAGAGCCTGTATCCTGGCCCCACAGTGCCTCTAAAACCACACCAATAGCAAGAGATTAATTTATTCATTGTTGACTCATAGACTTTATTCACAGCTGTGATACCAAGTTTATTAGGGAAATAAGTTGGAGAATGGGAGAGGAATATCTCACAATTCAAGTCCAGGTTTAGTCCAGTCGTTCCAAGCCAGATTAACAGCAAAACACAATTCCTTAATTAGGAAGAGTCTTGGTTCAGTTCAATAGCACAAATCCAAATCATCCAGCAATGTTTGCTTCAGAGCAATTGTAAATCAGCTTCTCCTTAATTACCCAGCAACCACAGCAAGACCTTTAACTGTGGTCTTTACCTCACGACTCTTCTGGTTACACCTTACCACAGTATCTCTACCACCATCACAAGGTCTCCCTCAAATCTTGCTGCTCAGTCAGTGTGGGAAGCACGCTGTCTCTCTCTCACGTGCGTTCTCTCTCTCTCCCTCTCTCTGTCTTGCTCTCTGTCTCCCTCTCTCTCTCTTTCTCCCTCTCTCTCTCCTCTCATTCCACATCTGCTGCTGATTTTCAAAAGCATGTGTCTGTTGTTAAGGTAACTGGAGACCAGAGGGGGCTAAGGTAATAACTAAAAAAGTCCATTTTAGGCTAATGCCATACTGTGATAGTTCTTAAGGCTATAATCCTGAGACCCCAGCAATTCATTTCCCTAGGCTATTTGATTATGATTAAGAAGTTTACATAGGTTTTCCCTGTGTTGCTGAGACTCATCTTTCTCATGTCTAAAACAGAGATACCCCTTGAAATAATGAAACTATGACACAATTTTTTTGGAAAGTTAAGTAAGATAATAGTGGTAAAATCTTTAATATAGTGCTTAGAATATAGTAAAAAATTAGAAATGCTAGTGCTGTTAGGATAATCATTAAAGGATTTTTTAGAAAAGATAAACCAGAAATTTATGAGGGAAACACCCCTATCCAAAAAGGGTCAGTACAGAAATTGAGTGGAATGATAGATAGGTCTCTGACGTATTAATTTCTCTTTTGAGACTTTGTTTCCTGGTCTATCGCTAGTCTTTCTCATCAGGATAGGGAAATCATTTGTTCTCCTCCTCTATCTGTAAATTTCTTGAAATTTGGTAATTTGTCTGGATGTGAACTGACTAGTCCTTCTCCTTAAAAAAATCCCCTCTTGGTTCCCAAGATCCAGAAGAGGGAAAGATGAAGGTGGCTCTTCCAAGCCAGGCTGCTGGAGAGTCCTCAGATGCAAGTCTTAGAAAAATGGTGAAAAGAGGAAGGGACAGTGCTCACTGAGCCAGGAGGTTGCAGTCCCAGATGGCTGAAGTGTGGAGTGGAAATGCTGGGCCTCGTCCCAAGCAACCTTCCCTCTCAGCCCTGCTTGTGCCCATGGAGTTCCTAGATGTCAGGTGGGCGGACACAGGGATGACCTGGGGAGGGTACTCCAGGCTTTGATGGTGCCTTTTAGAGTACCAGGGAGAGCCCTTGTGACAACCACTCCCACCAGGGGTCTAAGAACCACAGATAAGTGAGAAAAGGGACAAATCCTAGATAAAGGGGCCCAATTCCTCACTCTGGCCATCACTCCTGAGCCTCATCCCTAGGCTTGATGATACAAATACCACCAAGGAGATGCTTTGGTAGATCTTTCCTCCAGAGATGACCACCAAAGCTGACAAAGCCCCTTGCAGGCCCCTACTGGCTGCTCATTCTCAGAGTTGAGGCCAAGAAGGCAGAGGAGGGGGAAAGCTGCTGAGGGTGGAAGTAGGGACAGGGTCGGGTTCCACCAGAGAGGGCAGAGGGGGATCCACAGAATGGGACGCAAAGGGGAATTTCTGGAGAGAGAAAGCGAAAGCTTCAGGGACCATAAATAAGAGGCAGCCGCACACAGGCTTCCACCCAGATCCCTTCAATCCCCCAAGGACGCCCTGCATGTCCCATTGCTCCCTTGCACTCCAGCCAAGCTACAGCCTCACACTGACTCCTGCACACACCAGAGCCTCATTCCTCACACCTTCACTGTTGCTTCGCCTCTGTTGACCCTCCATGGCATCCCGGACAGCCTCACTGCTGGCCCTCAGTCTGCTGGTTCTCTGGACTTCCCCTGGTAAGGCTGAGGAGAAAAGCTGAGATGGGAGGCAGTGGTGAAGCGACATGTGCTGTCCAGATCTCAGATTGCTTGGCACTGCGTGTGAATCAATGAAAGTCCACGTCAACCCTTACTTCTACATGTTCCAGTGAACCAGGCAGGAGTGGGGAGCAGGGGTGCTGTGCCTTGTGTGTGTGCCTTGTGGTATGAGGGGTACCTGGGCCCCAGAGTGCTAAGGAATGTCTGTCTTTTGGGTATCTGTCTCTATTGATATTTCTCTGAGCCTGTAGTTTTCTCTCTCTGTAGTCACTATTTCCTTCTGCCTCAGTTTCCCAGACTGAAGGAAAGGGTATGTAATTGCTTAAAGTGAGGAGAATGGAGACACTAAGGCAGAGGTGATAAAAAAAAATATCAGATATTCGTAAAACTCCCAACACTGGTCTTCTAGAGAAAATAGAGTTTTGAGAGTCTGTGACTGTGGCCAGCATGAACTCCTCATTTGCTGGATTGTGAGGTGTTGAGAAGTTGTGGGCAAGGTAATTAAAGAAGCAGGCAGGCATCTGTAAGAGCTCAGAAGAGTGGTTGTTCAACAACCAGTTTAGATCAATTCAATATTTTTATAATTATTTGGGCCATTCTGGCACATGCTGACTGTGTATCAGGTTTAATTGTGCCTTCCTCCACCCATCAGGTGTACATTAGCCCAGTTAAGGTTGTGGCCATCTCTCCTCAAGGATGAACTGACAGCCACTTTTCCATTATCCTTCCTCTCCAGTTCTAGGTGGTGCCAATGACGCAGAAGACTGCTGCCTGTCTGTGACCCAGCGCCCCATCCCCAGGACCATCGTGCGGAGCTTTCGCTACCTCCTCCTTAAGGATGGCTGCAGAGTGCCTGCTGTTGTGTGAGTTTGGGGGTGGAGGTGTGTGGATATTTAGCATCATTTCCCATATCAGCTCCTGGTCTCTTCTCAAGTTCAACTCCTTCAAGGAAATCCCTGAAACGGGGTCCCCTGACACGGTCCCCAGCCTCTGCCTTCCAGGAAGCTGGACTCTAGGATTCCATTCTCTCTGGTTTTTAATTCCAGGTTCACCACACTGAGGGGTCACCAGCTTTGTGCACCCCCAGACCAGCCCTGGGTTGAGCGCCTCATCAGGAGACTGCAGAGGCTCGCCGCCAAGGTAAGGCTGGCCCTCCCTTTGCCCCCCTACCACAGCCCTATCTCCTCCTTCTGTGTCCCCACTCAAGACCTCCTTCCATGACCATGACCATGCCTCTCCTTCCTCCTCCAGAGCAAAAGCCACCAAAATTAGCCCATTTCAGCCCAGAAGGAGGCCTGTGTGGAGAGATGTAAATCACCGTGGTCCTTGTAACCAAGCCTCCAGATAGTGAGCCTCCTGACCCAGAGGGCAAGGCCTGGACTGTCAACGTGATTGTGAGTGTGTGAGAAGATGAGAAGTGTGCCTGCAGCCCAGCTTCATGCCCAGACTGCAATGTTTCCAATAAAGCCCACTAGAACCCACTAGATCTGCCTGCTGTCTGATTGCTCTCAATCCACAAGGTGGGCAAAGGACAGGGAATGATGGAATAATCTATTTCCACCCTACAGCCTGAACAACCTCCTGATAGACCTCTACCTACCATGCCAATATTCTCAGACTCAGTCTCCACCATCAAGACCCTTTCTCCCATCTCGTCATGGCCCTACCACCCTCCAGGGTTCAGCAACACTAAACTTGTGGCAGTTCCCTGAATGGGCCAAATCTCCCGTCAGCCTTTGCTCTCCAAGGCAGCGTTCAAGCATGCAGGTGTCTCTGGGATCAAGTGTCATTAGGGGGAAGGGAGTTCTCAGGAACTGATTCCCATGGCGAAGTGGGGGGCCCAGTTCCACTGCCTGAGAGGGAAGTATTCATTCACCCATGTCATTGCTCCTGACTGAAGCAATCCTCTCTTCTGTCTCCTGGCTTCCCATCTGTAGCTGGAGGTCTTACCCACTAGGGAGTCTCCCCTTACCCAGGTTTCCTCAGGTCGCCTCCCAGGGCTTCCTGCCCCTGCCACCCTCAGAGCATTCATCACACTGAACTACATTCTCGTTGTCAGTGTTTCTGGAAGACAAGGATCATGTCCACTTTAGTATCTGCTGTCTCCCTTGTATCCTGCATCCTTCCTGGCATATGGAAGTCACTCAGTAAATTATTTTTAGTGAGTTAATAAATAAATGAGGAAAGGTTCAGTGGTCATGGATGAGGACCTATCTGTCCATACAGAATGTGACCTCCAGGCCAACCCTCGTCTCTCCCTCTGTAAAATGTGAGCAAGGTCTAGTCACATCTGGATAATCATGGAGCACACCTCTCAGGAACACAGAAAGACAGACTGGGAGCCAGAGGTCAGGGAGGGAGAGGAACAATGGAAAAAAGAAGAGTAGCCAGGGGAGATAAGGGGTTCGCCGTGGAGGACCTGACCCCATACCTGCAGCTCGTAGGCTTCAAGGGCCAGGGCTGGAGATGGAAGAGCACAGGGAAGGAGTCTCCCCTATGGACAAAGAAAGCCCTGTGCCAGTCGGAGCATACCCAGGGTTGCTCTGTAGAGTGAGAAGCTCATGCTGCAGAGGCCCCCTGGAAATGCTACACCGACTCCAGACTATGACCTCTAAGAGCCTGTCCAGCTAGGAGAGGCAAGTCTGAGCTGCTGCGGTCAGACAGAGGCTAGGAGGCCAGAGTGAGCATCTTGTCTGGAAGAAGTGACATAATATCACATACACCTCAGCTGACAATAAAATTGGCTCAGGGCTATGTGCCAGCTCCTCCTCACAGCCACTCCCCTCTGCGCCCAAAGGCAATTGTTCAGAGATTGGCTTTGCTGCCTGGAAGATAATATCTAGTCATTCAAGCATCCATGCATGCATCCATCCGGCTGATTCTTCATCCATTAGTCCTCCTTCTACTATCCATCCACTCACCCACCCACTTGTCTATCCATTTAGCCAGCTAGTTAGTCATAGCGTCCCAGAGCTCCTAGTTATGAATCCATTATGGCTTCGATGGTCAGACCTCAGTAGGCAAAGGACAACTACAGGTGTGAAGGCAGCACAACGCCTCAAATGCTTAGTTCCCACAGGAGCCAACATTCTGGGTTAATGTGTCACAGAAAGAGACAAAATCCCTCCCAATGGACTCTTAGGAGAAGACACAAAATAGAGGGGCTATGGGTAGGAGCCCAGAAGAAGACATTACCAAAACAGAGACCCCTGAACCCTTCCTTCCTCCAAAACCTTTGAGAGCTATCAGAAAAAGTCCTGAGCATAATACCTGGACCCACATCCCACAACCCTGTCTGCTCTCCCCTCTGTATAACTCTGGGCAAGTTCTTTCCCCAACCACGTGTCTAATTTTCTCCATTTGTCCGATGGAAGCAGGAATTCATTTTTTTTTTTTTTTTAGCTGAATTAACAAAGTTTATTTCGAGTTCGAACCTGGGCTCCCGCGTGCTGACACAGCAGCATCCAGCCGAGAGCAGGAATTCATTTTTAAAAGTTCTTCCAAAGTCTTGGTTCCTGCATCTTCGGGTTTTAGACAAAATTTTCATCAGTCACACAGGCCTTTCCTCACCCTTCTCTTGGCTGCCCCCACAAATTATGCATATTCAGAAGTTTCTCTGCTTTCTGGGGCCCTGAGGGCCTACTATCTGGGAACAAAGAGGAAACCGAGTCAGGAAACTAGGACCAAGTAAAGTGCCTTAGACGGAACAGTCAGTTCCTTTCTTGATCCCACAGGCTTGGAAGATAAAAAATGTGGAAGCAGAGTGAGGAGGTGGATCCCAGACCTCACAGGGAGCAAGAAGACATCCCTCCTTGCTGCAGATACTGTCCCTTCTGGAATTTTCCAGTTCTTTTTTCTCATCCACTGCTCTTACTACACATCTATTAGCCAAACCAATCCTTCCTAGGTACTGGCTCCTATCTTATGAGGGCTTGAACCAGCATCTGAAACTTGTCTGTCCCAGTCAAACAAGTTCAGGCTGTAACTCCATCTCATCAACATCTGCTTTGTGTTCCACTGTGATTCACAGACTAGGGTTGAGTCTTTATTTATCCTGGGTTCTGGCAGGAAGGGAGCCTGCAGGCTTGCTTTTGACAACAATCAGACCACCAGTTTTCTCTGAAGTGCAGCAGGGACTCCTGTCTCCCTGGCCTGAATGAAGAGGCCTTGCTGTCTGCCTTTAAGCAAACACTTAGCTCACTAGGGCACATGATACGTGCCACAGACACTGGACCTATAACGGAGTGACACTGTCCTACCCTCAAGGCCTGTGGTTACAGCAGCAGATCCTAAGGGGACCTGGCACTCCTATCCTAACCATCTAATGAGCGAGCTCAGGGGAGGAATGGGACCTGGTCCATCTCCATTGCCAGCACTGCTCTGCACAGGGTCTGGCACGGAACAAACGCCAATACTCATTTGATGAACAAAAAATGGAATTGAATGTGGCCCTTTCCCACTCTGCCCCCCGCCTTTCTCATAACTGGAGCACGTCCAGTTCCCAAGACTTCATGGGGCTGCCTCTGGAATCACTGTTCTGTAGCGTGGGTAAGCGTCTGGTCCGAGCCAACCCCATACGGTTTTGATCATCTCATGTTCGACTTCTCGGTAAGCCCCCACCTCATGCCACCCCCTTCCTCTGGCTTCCAGAAAATGGGAGAAAATAAAAAAACAGGAAAATCCGGGAAATAACAGTCTTACAAAAGGGCAGGGCTCCCTGGTGGGGAGCTTCGTCCAAGAGCCCTTCTGCAGAGATAAGCAGACACTTCTCTAGTCAGAAACAAAGTCTCAAGGGACACGTAAGACCATGGCTTTATTGGACCAGATAACTCACCACTAAGTAGTTAGTTGTCCAGTGTGCTCCTTAGGTGCCAAGATGGTGAAGCTGTATCTCACATATTTTGGGCATGCTGTTAAGAAGGACAAGTCATGAGAAAGACAATATGCTTTGAAATCTTCAACAAGATTGATTAACACAGTGATAGTAACATTGGGTTCAAAGATACCAAATATGGTGAGGATAGCACAGCACAGGATAGGGCAAGGTGTGCAGATCCATTGCTCATAAGGTCACTATGAGTCACAGTCAAACGGAGTTGGTTACTCGGTGTAGGTACTGCTTCAAATGCTATTATCATTCTTGGGTTGCAGATGAGGAAATTGGAGTAGAAGTTAAGTAAATTGAACAGGTGTAGACAGCTAGTGAAATGGCAGAACTGGAGTTCCTATTTGGGCTGCGAGGTTCAAGTCTATATTCTTTTTATTATTATTATTATTATTCATTTTAATGGATTTCCATTCATTCATCATTTTACTATTCTCCCTGCCTACCCCACCCCCAGTACACTCTTCTCTTTGAAAGGTAAAAGAAAAATTCTTTCATTGTTTTACACTCCACCCAGGTCCACTCCACTATGTAGCCTTCGTTCTGGACTCATGTCATGACAGTAATACCTAATCACAAAACTCTTTTATACAGTTTTCTCTCTCATATGTTTCAATGCAGTATACATTATTTATCCCATCTTTCTCAGTCTTCCCCCAACCCCGATGTCAGTCCTGTTTTATAACAGTAGCACCATGCAGTATTTGTCCCTGTGAGACTGAGATATTTCGCTCAGCATAATGTCCTCCAGGCTCACCCATTTTGAATAATATTGCATAAGTTCCTTGTTTTTCAATGCAGCATAGTATTCCATTGTGTGAATATATCACAGCTTCTCTATCTCAAGTCTATATTTTTAACCTCTATGAATACCACTCTTGTGAATAGAACCATCTCGTAAGTGAAAATGAATAACAACACAGTAAGTCTGGACCAAGTAGCCCTTAAAGGATAGGAAGAGTCATTACTTCGGGGCACTAACCATGTTTCAAGCATTAAACTGAGTCCTTCATTGCCTTATATCATTGTACCTTCAGACAACACTATGAGGTGGTATCTTAGTTCTATTTTATGTGGAAATTGAGGCACAGAGAAGGAGAGTGACTTCCCAAGGCCATTCAAGTAGTAACTGACAAAGCTAGGATTGCAACCTAAGTCTGCCTGATGGCAGCACTTGGGATGAGGACTATAGCTGGGGTGTCTGTTGTTGTTAGGTGCCCTCTGGTCAGCTTCCACTCATAACAACCTTATGCACAACAGAATGAAGCACTTCCCTGTCCATGTGCTAGTCGGGACAGAAAGGCTTGGCTTGGTTGGAAGAGATGGGAAAGTGTGAAAGCAGAAACTTAAAGTCCCAGGAGAAGCCCTAGTGCTTGAGCCCAGAAGC